AAACACAATTTGTGGGGTCATCATCTGTGATGCCAGGCACAGCTGAAATTCCTGGAATTTCCCTAGAGTCAGAAAGGCAGACCAAGAACTCTGATGTGAGCCAAAACTATGCTTTTGCTTAGTGCAATACTTTGACAAGGTGGATGGGGACATTGCTGAAGGACAGAACAGGCTTGTTGGACTAGCTCCCACTGGTTTGTATTGGGTTATGTTCTCAGAATAGAAACTGCATGACAATAAATACATCAGTTCTGCTCAGGCAAACATAAATATTATCATATTCTTACAGTATACAAAAATAAATAGACCTTGATGACCTTAAGGCAAATTATGCAATTTTTTAAAAAAATTAACTCCAATTAGGGTTGACCTACATTAAATCCATGTGCTTTTTGCTGGCCTTCCCCAATTCTCCACAGTTTTTATTACAACCAGTATGATAGATTTTGACTACATAAGCCTTAAAGAAGAAATTGTTGCTTCTTTTATGTTCCAACAGCTACAAATGGAGTCTCATTACCGATTATGGCTCCTGGAAAACTACTAGGAAGCTCTTATTTTAAGTTTTGTTGCACTTATCTGCCAACAAAACCAGACAAAAACTGTTTCTGTGGCTTGAGAATAGCAGATTCCATAACTATGTTATCTTCAGCACCAAGTTTTGAGCTAGTATTTAAATGAAGAATTAGTTTTATTCTTCCTGATGGTAATTCTTCAGATAGAATTTCACTTTTGAGTATAATTAACATACATTAACTGCTTAAAAGTGCATAAAATCAAATGTGCATATAGCAGCTTTATATAGCCCTGGTTCACAACGTAAAAACTGTGCCTTTAACAAAAAAATGCTGATTTTACTGCATGCAGCTCATTGTTTATCAAAAGTGCTTATACTGTATTTCAAATATTCCAACACATATCTAATTAATGCCTGAATTTTTTATTGCAACATCAAAAAACGAAGTGTCATCTATAGACAATTCAAGTGCTGAATATTTGTGTCTGCAGTCAGGCAAACATTCAGTTTGCAAAATTTTAATATTAGCTTCACACTAGATTGTCTGCAGCAGCTCAGGCAATTTATTCCTTTTACCTACAGTCAAAACAGAGATGGTCTCAATGGTACCTCTCCCTTCACTGGAAGGCATTTGTGTTACTCACTGGCAAGTTAAGGGATAAGAGATGACTAACACCTTGTCCCTAAAGCATTTTCAGTATTGAAAACTACTATTTGCTAAAGTTTAACTTAAGTTTAACATCAAAGACTTTAAGAGATGACATTTGGATACAACAGGAGCTCAAGTGGCTTGAAATAGGTTCAGGAACGTCAATTAGCAGGTGGCACATCACTCCTTGATGTACACCTTCTTAAAGAAAAAGGTGCACCTCTCATTTATGTGCAGAGCTGACACACCTCTACCACACCCCCCAAAAATAAAAAAAAACAGCAATACTACGCTTTCAAAACTACCTTCTCAAAGCATAGGCAACATTATAATCAATTGCTGCCCATGCAACGTAAATTTAATGCACTTCCACATGGACAGTACTTAATTACATTTGCTCTTAGATGATTGCATTTCTTTGCCATACCATTCTTAATAGACTACTCGGGCTCAGGACAGCAGCTTCCAGATATTCTTATTAGGGGCTGGTCACACTTTAACTGCCAAAAATGTTTGGTTTTCACAGCTTCTGTAACCACAACAGCACTTACAAGTTAGGTGCAAGCAAAGCTATACACAAATAGGAGCTACATACACAAATTTGGGTTTAAATCACTTGCTCAGCATCATACAGGATCAAGAAGAACTAATTCTCATTTCTCTTTTCCTTTAGCTGAGTTTGTAACTTGCAACACCCCTTTTACATTTAACAGAAATCAGCCTTCAGACTCTATGCAACATTGGTTTAATCCCTCAGCACTGTTTATCTCATGCAATAATCAAATAGGATTTCTGTATGGAAAAAGTGATCTAAAATTATCAAACTGCATATGCAGAAGGACCTCAAATTTAGTTTAAATAAGCTTGTTTCAGCTATGCCTTAATTCCTGAACATTTTTTTACTGTAATCATTGCATCATTCCAGATATTATAAATCATAAAATTTACACAGACTCATAACCCAACAGGGATACTTAACAGAAGGAAAATCCATGAGGGCTTGTTAAAGAAAACACCATCACACCGGGGTCTGAATCTCTGAGGTGCAAATCATTAAAGGCTGGAAGATGTATTCTGGGGAGGTGCTTCCATGTTATGTTTATACTCTTCTCAAGGCATCTGCAATTGGCCACCACTGAGGACAGGATACCAGCTATATACATGATCTTTGGTCTGACCAAACAACACTACAAGGTTTCTCTCCAAAAGGTATCTAGCAGAGTGACAACATAAGTAACATCTTGTCTTTTTGGTAAGTGGTTTACAACCAGCCCAACAATAAATGTGATTAAAAATGTCTTATATAATACTCATGACTTAGGACATAGGAAATTAGGAAGATTGTCAGTACCCTCCCAATGTAAAAATGTGAGGGAGCTTTTTAAGGCTGTAAGTCAAAGGATTTCTGAATGTTGTCTCATTCATTTCCTTTACTTACTTTCAACTACAAATAAGCCTTGCATACTTTTATTACCATAATGCCTAAAAGCAGTAATTAGTGCCTTGTTGTGCTACATAAGTACATAGAAGACATCATCATTGCCTCAAAAGTACTTTTTGTAGGAAGGATAAAGTAGATCAACAGAAAAAAGAAGCACTCAATAACCTGAACAACTATTTAAGATGTAGTTTGAAAAAGGTCATCCAAGTTCCAGGATGATTTTGAGCAAAAAAGTGAGTCAGCAAATAAGCACAACTGAGGGCTGAGAGTCCCCTTTTAAGTGCCCCAGTGTTACTAACTACGATCAGTCAGAAACAGAATCCATAACCAGCTTGAGTTCATCAAATGGGTTTAGCACTCATGCTGTCAGCATATTTAAACAAGTCACAACTCACTCATTTTTCTTACTGAAGACCAAAATCAAACAACTAAACATGCTACCATCTTACACAATATTCACAGAACACGGAGGATAAACCAGGAATCAAGAGTTGACAATTCAATAATTCAAATGCAAACCAGAACAGAATAAAAACCCCAAAAGCCAAGCAAAACCAAGGTTGCACCCCTACAAATAAAGAACACTGGAGAAATTGACTGCAAGTATCGAAACTTGCATTCATTTTAGCAGTTAAACTCTCAAGATAGGCTGTACAGATGACATCCCACAGCAGTGAGTCTCAGTTTTCAAGTGTTATAAAATACTAATCTCAAGAAAGTAGTGGCTCATAACCTTAAAACTGCACCAGAATTAACATATAATCAGAGTGAACAGGTTTTAACAAGTAACAAAGAAAAACTTCAAGCTATAAAGCACATCTTGAAATCAGCACAAGTCTACAGACTATAACATTTCTAACATCAGTCTTTTGACATGCTTAAGCCAGGGTAATACAAAGAGACGGAGTATTACACAGAATTCCCTTCTACAAAAAACAAACCTCAAACCCTAGTCCTAGCCAGGTACAAAGTATACACTTTAGACAACATTTGATGCCAAAATGTAATTCAAATTAAAGTAAAATGTTAGAAAAACAGACATCTCTATGTTAAAAGTGTCAAAAAAATTTATCTGAAGAACAAATGTTGAAAACCCACTAGCGTTAGTCTTATATTTAGGAACTGCTTTTTAAAAAGGCAGGGTTGTGAGCCTCCAACCCATCTCATATCTCTGCCATTACCACTTAGGAGTGCCAGCCCAGTCCCAGTACTATTTAATCTGTGTGCAGCAGAGGTAATCCTTTTGCTAACAAGACTGAGATTTGTATATTTTGCATTAGCTGTGTCTAATTCCCCAGGTTCACAGGCTCTCTTGCTAACATTGTCACGCACTTGTGCTTGTATGTTAATGGCATTTTTCAAACTTCTCTTTATACAAGGAGAAAAGGGGATTTTTATTAAACACTACTTGACACCGTATGAGCTGCATGCTGTCATGTACCTATCTGGGAATTTCAGTAATGTAAATGTAAAAGCTTTAATGGAAGAGAAGGCAGCAGGCAGGAACACATAGCCTCAAGAGAGCTCTGCTTCAGATGTTGAGGAATTGCACTCAGACATGCTTGTGTTAGAATAAGACTTTCTGGAATCGTCTCCTCCAGTGACTGCAAAGGAAGCCTGCACAAACTGGCTATGATCTGAAATAAAATCTTTAGGATATCAGGGTATCAGCCTTAGGATTCGCTCTGATACAAGCATGTTGTCTATTTCACAAAAAAATACTAATCAAAGGGCAATACTTTTATTTACTACTCTGAACTGTGTAAAAACCCCACACTTTGACTATAGCAACTGCAGTTTGAGAAGCACCCTTAGAATATTAAACTGTACTTAAGAACATCATTGGATTAATATGTAACAGGTGTGTAACACCAGTGAACATTTTTTACTCATTCAAAATAACTTATAAATCTTTTATATGAAAGAATTTTTCATTAGAAAAACTTATCAAAGTACAACACTAGAACACCATTTTTCCGATTGCTTAGTGTATGCAATTCAAATAAAATAACTAAAGATTTGGAAATTTGCTACAAACTCTCCAATCAAGATGAAAGAACACCAACTAAAAGATAGACAATGAACGTAAAAAGAAGTTGAGAATTTTTTTTAAAACCTTCAAAATAACATTCAAAATATTACATTTCCAGAACTCCCCCCCCATAACTTCCCCCATTTTATTTAAATAAAAAGTACTAATAATTCCAGTTTTTGTTGCAGCAGTTTATGAAGTTATTTTTTAATACTCTACCATAGAAATAGAATAAAACCCCTCTTTTTTGTTGTTTTGTTGTTTTTTTATCTCCAATGAGCTGATTTCTTGAAAAATAAAACTGAAATGTTGCAGTCAGAAATAATTTCTTAAGTGTTTCAAAGAAAGTGTCCACACTCACCAGTGCTGCCGCCGTCAGACTTTTCTTCTGGTTGGCTTTCTGGAAAAAAAAAGCAAACAAAAAATTAACAAAGAAATGTAATGTTTCTGTGTTGATTATTTGAAATTACATCTAAAAAGTGGTTTGCATAGCAAAGAATGATAAATTATGAAAAAAAACACAATCACTGGGTTTGATTAACGTTTATAGACTTACTTTCTGAAGAATAACTTGCCACAGAGAGCAAAAAAAACATCTCCTTTAGTGCCCAAACTCACAATTTAAATGAGAGAACTCCATTACATTTCTGATTGAGCTCTGCAGGCATGAAGTTACACATTTATACAAAACCAGCAGTAGTATTGTACTTAAGCAATTAATAGTTTCCATGTATCTCACTTCTCACTTTTAAACAAATTAATACTATTTTTGTATATTTAAAAAAAATAAAGTTCTGCAGAAGAATGCCCTTAATTGGCACTAAGCAAATTTTTGGATTCTGTCCACCTCTTCTCTATCCTTTCTGCATATCACACAGGGATTTATTTCTTCAGTCTTTTCCCTTTCTGATCACTGACCCTCAAATGGTACTACAGCCCAACTCATTAGGTACCAAAAACCAGACATAATCAGAAATGTGTCCTGTTCCACAGAGCATAGAATCAAAGTATGTATGGAGGACAAACCTAGACACAAGTGTTGCAGTGATCAAAAAATGATCACTCGAGTGAACTGGCAGAGTCAGACTCATAAACAGCTTTCCACATGAAATTCCAACCCAGCACTACAAGAGATGGCAGCCACTGGACGTATTCTGGTAATCAGAGTTCTAACACGTAGCAAGCCCTGTGAAACAAAGCCCCTACATATATTTGTCAACTTGAAATTTTACTGCTTCTCCTATATTTTGCCTTTTTACACATTGTCTAGGGTAGAGAATAAAAAGAGTATTTTCACTTACATGGGATACAGTTAAAAATAGTAAAATACACTTGTCCGTAGCTTTTCACTCAAGAGATGTCAAAGCTATCATTACAGTTAATTTACTTGCAGGAGAGAGTGAATTACTGCTCTAACATGGACAGTAACTTTTGAGTTCAGTTAGTTTGATAACTTCTGCCAGCTCCAGGCTGGGTATTAGTAGAACTGAAAACACAAAATATTTTACAAAACCTTTTCTATGCCACTGATTCTTGCAGACTTTCACAGCTGATGGCCCTGTTTAGTCATGGAGATGGATGGCAACCTGAGGACTAATGCAAATAGAAATAGTATCTCACAGATCCTTCTTTCTTTACTGGTGACTGTCATTACTCTTTGCAGCTGAAGGCATGTGCTTTCTCACTAAGAAAACATTATATGGCTTCTTCCCACCATGAGCATTTACAAATCAAGTTAAGATCCCTGCCAACTTTCAGATATACGTGCAGGGCAAAAAAACATGTTTGAAAAAAAACATGTATTTTCTCACTGACCTTTTCTGCATATATTTAGGATATTACAATATGTTACTACCCAACGTTATACCAGCTCAGTCATAACTTAAGGAACCATTCAGTACTCACACAAGAAGCAAAGAGGATGTAATGAAGAATGTACAAACACACTAAGATATCAACCCCTGCCTGGACTGAGATATAAGGAGCAGCTGGATTTACAGCTGTTTCTTTTTAACTCCGTTTCAATGGAAAGACTAGCTAACTAGCCAAAACTGCTGCATAAGACACTACAGTAAAAAATTGTTAATGGCATCTCTGATTCAAGCACCAATAAACATGTATCATGTCTACAGGAAGGGAGTGTGTGTGTTTGCTTCTATGTAGCAACAGAATCTTCCCTGAACAGCAGAGACAAGCCTTGCAAAAAAGTGGATTTTTTTCCACATCATTTGACTTTTTTTTTCTTGTTACATCACAAGGCTCTGCTTTAAAAATCTTCTCAGTACTAATATAATGAAGAGGGTAAAGTTGTACTGTGTCTACTTAATAAATTTTATCAGTGCAGCCTCCTCCACAACATGTAAGATCCACAGATAATTGTCAACAGGTTGGGTTGTTTGGTTTTGTTGGGCTTTTTTGAGGGAGGCAGGTCAGGGGGTTTGGTTTTTTTACACATACACCAGTGACACTTAAAAAAATCCAAGAAGTTTAAAATCACTGAAGTAGGCAGAAAGCCAATCCTATTCCCATCACACTGAGCCCACTCGAAGATCCCACATATTTTGTGCATTATATCCTCAGTTGTTTAAAATTGTGCAGGAATCAACAGTCTATAATTTTAAAAACAAAAATGAAATAAAAATAATTAGGAGCCTGTCCCATCAACCACCTGAACCCACTTTACAGTAATTTGTTAATCCTTGCAACACTCACATAAAGTAAATAAACGTAATTTATATTTTTTTAGAGATGGAAAAGAGACATGACATTAGCAGTCACAGTTATTTTCTAAATGGAGTGTATGTTACAATAATATATATGAAATCTCGATTCATCAAAATGCTGTCTGTTCTGATCATGGGTTGCATCGTCTTTACGATCCTCCCAAAAATTTGGAAATTTGTATAAATGCCAAAGGCCTGAAAGGCTGCTGTTGCTTCTATTTCTTTTGATCATTATGCTGATTATAGGTTTTCCTCTTCTGCTAATAGCAGTCTGTAAAAGACTGAAGTACATAAAGGAAAAAAGAAGCATTAAGGAAGATCCCAAGACATTTTGGAGACTGGAATGTGTGGTTAAGTGACAGCATGAACAAATAGAGATGACTGGAAAACACTCTTAAAGTAAATAGGTTTATGTCAGAACTCCTCAGCAGGCAAGAGCTAAGATGGCAGAAAGATGAGGGAGGGTGTTTGTTTCCTAAATAAGAGCTTGATGAAAAATCTAACAAGTCAAACATTCATTTAATGAGATTAGAAGTTGTATCACAAGGCACCAAGACCCTGAGCTCTATATATTTTACTGGAAACAATTAAATGTAATTATAGGAGTAACTGCTTTAATAAAATAAATAAATGTCTTTCCAGGGTTTTTATTAGTTTCCTCCCTTCACATGTCTTTAAATGGCTTGATACAGCCAATATTCCAAACTACAAATATACAAAATACAGGATACAAACCTCTGAATATTCATTTCCCTGGAATACAACCACACATGGTAAGTTATATAGTAGGCATGATTCATGTACAAACTCAGAAGAGGTCCTTTCATATGAGAAGTTGTATAAAGGAAGAAAAACCCAAAACAAGGTGAGAATATTCAAGGGGTGTAGGGATAAAGGTGCTGTTCTAAGGTATATGGGCAGAGTTATGTGTATTATTGAACAGGATTTTTTTAAAAAAATACTGAATTCACAAACTGAGCTTCTGAAAGAATACTCAGAAAAATGGAGAAGAACAAAATGTTAAAAGCCAGCAACCTTCTGTGAAGCATGAAACAGTGAAACAATCCATGCATGAATGCTGCTTGGAAACAAAAGGTCTGGCAGTTGCTCCATCAATTGAATTATCTAAACACTTTTTACTTTCAGTAAAAGGGAACAAGCATGAAGGAATTTAAAGTCACTAAAATAGACATTAAGAGAGTCACATTTATGAAGGAGGAGTTGTGAAGATATATTCAAAATTTCAGTAAAGTGAGTCATCTCACCGAACTTTACAGAAATATCTTATGCTTTCTTTGTGCCTACAATGTAAGATCTTCTCCACCCATCAGTCCTTTAAAGTTAGGAATGCAATTGCCTGCAAAGGTCTGTGTTTCCTCAAGTCACATTAGTAGCTCATTATTCCAAGAACTAGCTCAGTAAGAAACTTCCACCATTATATATAACATAGCTGCATTTTTAATTTATATTTAGAGCCAGCAGTTCTAAACTACCTGCTGGCATAAAAATTAAGAAACAGGCAATCAAAGCAGTAAGGGAATTAATTTATAATCACAATCAGAAAAGTCTGCTGTTAAATGTTTAACCAAAGCATGTTCTCATTCCTTCAACCAAGAATGAAACTGTCAAATTATAGCACTTCCTTATGCCAGAGTGTCTGCCAGTAGGAAGATCAGAAAAAGAATTTTAACCAAACACACAATATCAAACCCATGACTTGCCCCTAGACAGTTCCTAGCTATACACACGTAAGAAAAATTAATTTTGTTCAATACAATACATTGAAATATATGCAAAATGCTGTCCTTTCCTCCCGCCCAAAAAATTACAGCTATGAGAGCTGGTGACAAAGATAAGATAAAATGACTGAAAGCACAAATAGCGTTGTTGCATAGCAACTGTTGATGTACATATGGTGATGTTTATGGAACAGAATGTAGTTCATATTTAATGCAGAAATAATACTGAAACCAGCCTAGACAGCAAGACACAACTGTGCTTTGGATCCCTCTGCAGTCACACAGAAGCCACACCTCATGCCAGCTTTGCTAAAGTGATGTTCAGGAACAGCACCACAGGTCTCAGTGATCTGCCCAGCTATGAAGACAAGGCAATGTTTCACAGGTGTCAACAGCCTTGCAAGGGTAGGGAGGTATTCTGCAACTTCCAGTTGCAACTTCCAGTACTACTCACTATTATTCATGACAGCTATTTCAAACTACAGAAATAAAAGAAACAGGAGAAACCCCCATGTTACCCAAATAAAACTGCATCATGTATGAATGCCAGCATAGACCAGATTTTTATTAGTGACTGGAATGGGATACACTTTATCCATCTTTGTATCAGCTTGGATCTAATATATCCAACTGCAGAAGAACCAGAAACTGAAATTCATTAGACTTTATACATTAGAGTTTTATACTTTAGACTGCATAACAAACAGCATCTCAGAAGAGGCTTATGCTGTCTATTAACTACTATGGAACCACCAGAGATGAAGAGGTTTACAAGGTAAGAACCGAAGGATTTCTTCTAACTATAACAGGTATTAGAAGCAAGCTCAATTAAAACAAAGCAAAACCACAAAAAAATCCTTTCATAAGTCTAGAAAACAAGTCATGCAGAAACTATTAAATTACTTGTCAAATTTTATTTCTTTTGCTTGGTCTGAACAATCTGACAAGTCAATGTGAAGTGTGGAATTATCCAGAATACGTAAACTTCCTGCAGGATCTCCCAAGATTACACAGTATTCCAAGGAAACTTTGTCATCCCTCATTCACTTTGTGAAAGACCATCAAAAAGATCATTACTAAAACATAAAGGATCCCAGGACTAGAGGACAATACACAGACTAGATCTTAGGTCTTTCAAACCCACAGCCAAAAAAGCTTCAGCTTTTATAAAAGAAACACAATTGTTTTATGGCATTTGCTCAATTTTAGGTAAGTTCATTCCTCAAGAAGGTACTGACTGAGAACAACAGTGCATGAAGAACATTATTAATCCATATTTCATTTGCGTAATTCCTCCAGATGCAACATTAGCAATGCCTTCTGTAGTTCCACACCAGCTTAATCTTTGGTTCATGGTTCAAACTGGCTTACTGATTGTTACATGATGCACTTCACAAAAGAAAAAGGAACAAGATCACCAATGCTTTTCACAAAAGCTATTTTATTTATAATTTGAAGACAAATATTGGTCTGTGAACATAAGAATGAATTAATTTCAATTTCATATGACTGTTTCTTACTGTGGATTGACTGTGCAAGCTTTTATTGAATCTTTTTGCATGGCTGAGAAAATTAAAATGTTTTTTTACCTTGTGGACTTTCTGGCATCAAACAGCATATTAGCCTGCCTTTCAGTTGGGATATCCATATAGTTTTGCTCCACTTTTCAGACACCTGTTTTTACACTAACCATAATTCACTACAAAATTTCTTGAAATTGGCCGTGGCTCAAAACATCCTTAAGATGCACATTCCAACACAGAAGTGTGGCTGCAGGAACATGGTGTCTGTAAGAACTATGACTGGAATTGGGAATATTTGTGGCACAATCTTTACAACAACAGAAGAAAAAGTCATGCAAGAAAAGCACATTAAAGTCTATTTTTTTATTTTACTGCCAATGTCAGCTATAACACAACAGAAACACATTTTCATCATTTTACATTTAAGCAAGTTTTAAGAAAACCCAGGGACTTTGCTAACCTCAAGCAAAACCAATTTTGATAGGGTCTATGCTTATGTAGTGCTTCATTCCAGTCATTTCTCATTTCACTAAAACTCCTTTGTTCCTGATCTAATATGGTAACTTCTACTCAACAGACCCATGTCCTCAAATAATATTCTGTAGTTGCTAAGAAATGCAAAATCTTTAATTGATTAAATAAAAATTGGACAGCAAAGTACCTAAAGGTTTTGATATACTGATATTACAGGTGGTAAACCAGAAATACATGGGCATCTTTTAGCTATCACATTTGAATGATTTTCATTCTAATTGATGACAAATATCCCACATTCAAGTTAAGGATCTGCACTCAGTAAGCTTTATGTAACCATTACAGGCTTTTAAAGCAGTATTTTTTATAAAAAGGTGTCTTGGGAAGTAAAAACCCATAGGATTTGCAGCAAACATACAAAAATCACTGTATATTCCAAACACACCTTCACATCTGAAATCACTCTCTTCTGTCAAGCATCCTGAGGTTGAGGCACAGAGAAACAAAAAAGGATGAAGTGCTACTAAAATGCATACAACATCATTGAAAACTATCTCCCTGACTCTTTTGACATTTGCAATATATGGATTATAAAAAACAGTATTTTAAAGTGTTGCAAGTCAGACACATGAAAATACAATAGGGTTTAAGCGAAAACCCAATATCATTACTCCATTAGCTTTAGAAAAAGGGGTAATAACTGAAAAGTGCCCAAGTTGTACTGTAAGAGCTTGTAATTAATATCTCAATGCTCATCCATTAAATCTTTAAATAGATTTTTAAAAGGAGGTGATCAAACCTACTAAGTATTCTAACCCTGTTCTGTGATTTATGATTCTCCCTTCCTCATTTATTGATAAAGTATCACACTGCCATCACAATTGCCTGCCAGCCTACAAACATCAAACCATCAGAAGCTGGTTATGCTGTAGCTTCCCGCCCCACAGAAGGCAGAGGTATCAAAACAATATCACTGTTATGTGTCTTCTGGGAAGATCAAAACCTAAGTGCCTGAAACTGAGATACCTTCTGCAAACAATGAGAGATGCTCTGCAGACACCTGTACTCTAAAATCCAGGACACAACCATATAATCTCAGTGGAAAACTTTTCAGCATGCAGGAGTTACATGGAAGACAGTCTGCTGAAGTTCTTGTGCAGTGTATCACAGAATCTCAGGGGTTGGAAGGGAACTTGAAAGATCATCTACCCCAACCCCCCTAACAGAGCAGGATCACCTAGAGTACATCACACAGTGTAATGCTACCATGACCCTTAAGCATAACATACAGTTTAGGACATATGAACTTGAATACCCTAATCACTTCTACAGCTACTAAGCTGAACTTCAGGCAGGTCAAACAGCTGAAATCCAGTGAGAAAAATGATAACCTTACTGCTGTACTGTTGGTATTATGACCTTATTGAGCTTTAATACACTTAAACCACATATATACTTCAAGAAAATGTGATGAATTGATGTGTTTATAGCTGAAATGGATCTGTTCAGCTAGACAGAGGAAGAAATAGCATTCTTATAACTCTGTATTAACAGCAGAGACCAATTCAAGGAGAAAAAGAGAAAATATTATTTGATCCCAAAACACAAAAACATTTTTTCCAGTGAAAACCATAAAGGGGAATACACAATGTACTGCACTCCACGCTCTCTCTGTTCTGCTCAGCAAACCCACAGTGGAAATGTACATGATAAATGTATGTGGAGAGCTCAAATTAACTCCTCAATCTTTCAAAGAAAAAAGAGAGACAAAAAGAGTGTAACAGTGTATGCAGATAACAACAAAACAGCCAAAATCTGACTTCTGAGTCTTCTGGCCTTTACACCATCCAGTTTATTGACATCATGTATACTGAAATCATAACAAATAACTTAGAATCTAACTTACCTACTGCAGTTTCCGTGAACACAGTTAAGGTCTGTCCTCCCACACTTTGCAAGATAAATGGATGTTCCCTTGGTGCACTGACTGAAGTAGGTTTTCCTCCAATATCGCTGATGTTTGCAAGCTCTTCATTCAAAGTAAATGACACCTAACAGTCACAATTACCACAGTGTTACTAAACAGACTCAATTACACAGCTTTACAAGTGATAGGGAAACAAAAAGAAAGAAAACACAAGTAGTATAGTACATTTCCATATCTAAAACATAAAGAGTGGGATAAGAGTCTTAACTATATTGACTTCTTGTTGAAGTAGAGAATTCAAAGCCTTCACGTACTTAATAAAATCTACTTAACTTTTAAAAAATTGTAAATTACTTCCTCTTGAAGTCAAGAGAACATTTTGATTTTACTTATTAAAATGTAAGGCATCATAGGTTTTCAGATATTGTTCGGTTTGAGTGCTTTAAAATGTTTCCCACAGTCAGCTGAGTTCCAGAAAAAGTGCTCAGTGTTCCTAGCCCATGGAGCCATGCAGCCCAGAAGAGGCTCAAATACTGCTCCTTTGCTAGGTTTACATTGTATGTCCAGTACAGGAGCTGAAAAGGTACTGGGGGGACTGGATAGCCAGAATCCCCAGCTGCAGGACACAGCAAGAAACCTGAATAGGGATATTTAGGGTCTCCCGGGAAGCCACCCATTCTCATTGGGTTCCTCACAGCTTGGCTCTACATGGACTGCAGAACATGATGTGTGGTTTTCATCAGTATCAAGATCTTGTTGTGGTGCTCACCAAATTAGGGAGGCTGGCTGGTACTCCAGCCCAGGATAGTTCAATCAAACACACAAGCCTCCAGTAGAAGGCTCTCCACTTAATCTGGGCAAACTCCTTTTAGAGTACCAAATGCCAAAGGCAGTTTGTCTCCCTGTCATCTTTTTGCCCAGTTTCTTCCAATTCACTGGCAGACCTATGTGGTATTTGAAGTAATTCTAACTAACTTTCCTTATCTCCTGCAAAAGACAGAGGAAGTGACTATCATTCACTGAGCCTGCTAATGAAAGCAGTTAGTGTCACATGCAGAAAAACCTTCAGGTTGCTTTATATTTAGTAGGACCAAATTCCAAAAATAAGACAGAGTGCTTCCTGAAATTGCAACTCTCCATCTCTAGCTTCTTTTGCTTTGTTGTCATCCTATTTCTCAGACAGACTTATGCAGTAACACATCTCAAAACATTTAAAGAGAAGGTTGCTACTATGATCCCTGCTAACAGATGGGTAAACAAACTCAGGGAACAAAGACTTGATGAAAGTCCCACACTAAATCTATGAAGAGTTCCCTCCTCCCCGTTCTGTGCTATGATGCTCACTTACAGGTATAGCAAAAAAAGTATGACATTAGGAACCAGCATGTTCTAAACAAAGTTTAGAATTCAAAATATAACACATTCACAGTCTTTGCATTTAGTAACTACTTACTTCTGTTCTTCCTTGATTTCTGCAAAAGAAAACATTTAATGTTTTAGTTTCCATAATCTAATTCCACAAGTTTAGCTTCCCCAATTAAAAAGAAATATTCAAATTCTAGTTTTGTTATTCATCTTCACTCCTGAGCCGCTCAAATTTTTTTATGCTGATGCCCAATATTAAATGGGAAAAGTCAGCAGGTGAGAACAGAAGCAACAAAATAGCAAGGAAGTTAAAGAGCATTAACCAGTTAGATGTGCATATTTCTTGGGTTTAAGAACTCAAACACCATGTAATGGGATACAGCCACTCCCTAGTATAGTTTCATGTAATTTAAATTGATAACCACTACACAAACAAGTACCTTCCTGGTTTCAGAGAAATATGCACAGTGTTTGCAAGAAACAGGATTATGTATTACAAGAGGTCCAGCATAATCAATGTTACTGCAGGTAATTTCTTCTAAGAATTACAACCCATAGAGGTCCAACAACAGCTTACTTGGCAATCCTTAGTTTTCCCACTTCACCCCTTCCTGAAGCTTTACTCCACTGCTGTGATAAGTATTTGGGGACCTGAAAAAAGAAGACACATTTCAAGAAAAGTAGATTTTAAAATTCTACACAAATTCTGTAGGTCTATATACTTTAAATGTGTCACCTTGATCACTGCGGAACATTTAGATCTTAGTAAGATCTAAATATAGCAGACAATATATTCTACTAGGAAGATCTAAGAAAATAATGCAGCACAAAAATAAGGCCAAAAAGGTGCTGTGAAGGGAAGACCTAGAGTTTGGGAACATCAGACACTCAGCAGCAAACCATAGCCCTACTCCCACCAGATATCCACTTCTCTAAACAGCAGAACCACTCTATGTAGATCTGCCTCCCATCACTCATTCCCACCCCTCCACTCTACAGAGAAAGGTCTTTGTGCAGCTGGTCAGTATGCAGGAAGAGCAAAGTGATGTGGCTGGGAGGTGTGTGGGATGTCTGTGTTTTAGCTATGCCAATTTTATACTTAGCACATGAAACAACCAAAGCAGGTTTGCAAACCATTTCCCTGAACAACTGCACAAAAGAAGGGTCAGTGCACAGACAGGAACAAGCAGCCCTGCTTAACCTGATACATCCAAGGAACGAAAGCTGTTCCAGTGATGCTAATTCATCTACACACACATTCCTTCAATAACAAACATCTTGGTGCCTGCAACCTCAGGTAGCCTGGGCTCCTGATGGACAAAGAGCCTACTATGTAACCAGGTAACAAGCTAGAAGCTGGTATTTCAAGTAGACCTGTTTTTCCTCTTTTTCCATCAGTGTAGCTGAAATCACCACCTGCTTCTCCATTTTCTGGCCAAAAAAGTACCAGCTAACTACTGCCAGGTAAGCTAGATCCCAACAGCTGGCCCTTCCATGGCCAGCCTTAACACCCTTGTTGCCGCTGTGTTGCACACCCATGCTCTCCAGGCTCCCAGTGCCCTGCCTCAGGGAGGAGCTCCCAGCTCAGCCCAAGCATTCAGCTCCCTTCACACACTTCCAGTTTCACAGTGTAACCTCAGAAGAATAAGGCACTTCTCTACCTTCTCTGCTTCACCATGTGGCATCAGTTCTAGTCATGTCTACTGTTCCTTGCAATAATCCAGCTCAGTTTTAAGCAGAGTTCAACGTTTGCAGATCACATAGATCCACACCGAGCCACAAAAATGATGAAGGGAGTGGAACATTTCCCTTATGAGGAAAGGCTGAGGGACCTGGGTCCCTTTAGCTTGGAGAAGAGGAGACTGAGGGGTGATCTCATCAATGTTTACAAATATGTTAAGGGCGAGCATCAGGAGGATGGAGCCAGGCTTTTTTCAGTGATGTCTAGTGATAGGACAAGGGGCAATGGGTGCAAACTGGAGCATAGGAGGTTCCACATAAACATGAGGAAAAACTTCTTTACTGTGACAGAGCACTGGAACAGGCTGCCCAGAGAGGCTGTGGAGTCTCCTTCACTAGAGACATTCAAAACCCACCTGGATGTGTGATGTGCTCTAGGTGACCTTGCTCTGGCAGGGGGGTTGGACTAGATGATCTTTCGAGGTCCCTTCCAACTCTTAAATTCTGTGATCTGCAGATCACAGGTTATTTTCCACACCGTTCAGCAATTCTGTCTTTTCTGTGATGGCTTTTTATACATACTGAACGTATTTTGTACAATAAAAGTGAGGTTGGAGCAATCTCCCTGCCACACACAAGCTATTAGATGCAGAAGTACCATGACACATCATGAGATGGAATACAGACCTGAGACAATAAGGACAATCTCACCTCTGATTATTAAAAACTAACTGTAAGATGTTCGGGTTATATGGAAATAATAGATTTTTATTTTTTTTTCAAAAGAAAATAGCTGAAAGCAGTGTAATAGAAGCTACTACTTCCTACAAAGCTCTATTTTTCTAATGAGGATGCAGCAGTTAGTGGGAGAACATCATCTTAAAGACCTACAGCAGTTGCAATGTCTAGCAAAACAGCAACTTGTTGAAGGAAAAATAATTTATGGTTCCAGCACCACGTACTAAAGAAGTATTTTGATACAGGAATTTTGTATCTTTTTTTCTTCATATGCTCATGGCACATCAGGACAAATCTGCATCCTTTACTATCACAGCAACGTTATTTACTGGTACAGCAAAGTTTGTTCTGGTTCACACAGTCCACAGCTACTGAAAACATCTGTGCCCACATAGAAAAATGGTGTGAGACACAGCCAGCAAGAAAGAGAAATGTATTAAGCTCTCTCTGTGGCATTTTCTGTTTCAAGCAGCAAAGAGGCAATTTGCAGTCTGATTTCTGTCTTGCACAGAATAAAACTAAGCCAAGCTTCACTTCACATCTGAGGAGTTGAAAAGCCTCTTCCAAAAACTTGCCAACAAACAGCAGCCTGCTAACTTCCTAAAGCTCCAAGGAATTTAACACTAAACTTGCAAAAAAACCCCCAAAAAACAGACCCTGGGAACACCTTAGTACTCGTGCTTGGTACTTTGCTGTCTCACAGCATTCCACGAAGTCCTGTGGAAGAGCTAGAAAACCCAGACATCCTTGAGCTGCTCAGCCAAACTAAATGTTAGTCCAGATTCTCATGAAGTCCTAACTTTGGGCCAAAAATGCACAAGAGAAAGCCATAAACTGGTACAATCTACTTATCTGTATTTCTTCCACAGTATTCAAAGTAGTAATTTTCTACAGTGAATTTCATGCCAGATCAGATATAATTTTCTTTCTAAAGCCAAGATAAGTGCTATGCCATTTCCATATCCCAGCTGACTCAACAGAAATGTTTTTATGCACTCACACCTCATCTGTATCTAATTTATATGACCAGGCAGTACTGAGTATGTGCCTGCCTTATGAGTGGCCAAGGAGTGAAGAACCCTCATGCTGCTAGAGTCACTGACTTGCTATACAATATAATCAGACAGGAAATACATGCTAATTAAGAAGTTGCAGACCAATCACGCTTCTTTCAGCTGTATAGGAAACAGTCTCAAGGAGTACAATTAATCATCTTTCTGATGGCCTATCTGCAGTCAAGGGCTATTCAGAGAAAGAAAAAGGGTTATGAAGGACTGTGATCAAAGGATTACTTGTAGCTATACACTACTGTGATCAAAGGATTACTTGTAGCTATACACAGTTACTTCAGTTAAAACCAGGTGGTACTCTCAAAAACGTGCTAAACTCTGTAGCCCCATGTTAATAATGAACTCTGTAGCCCCATGTTAATGATGTAAAAAATTAGAGGAATTATAGTCTTTCACACTGTAGACATCTTAATTTGCCACTTCAACTTTAGTATACTAAAAGTTTAGCTTCCAGAGAAGTCAGTTTTCAAACTCTCTTAACACTTCTTGGAAGAACGTACAGAAAACATTAATGATCTGCTTTTACAGAGCAAAAAGAAGCTTCAAAGATCTCACAGCAGGATTCTGAAAAATATGCACCCAGAGAAAGACCAACCTGTGGACACAATACCTGCCATACTTAAAGGCTACTGAAAGTTTTCAAGACAAGTGGCCTTTATTCTGGTATTTGTAGGTAAGAATGCTCCTCTCTCCAAAACACAATATGCAGCATGTACATCAGAAACTGAGTAAGGCTGTACAACTAAGGTTCTACATTTTCCTTTTTCTCTGAACATATAAAAAATACATTCTATAAAGATGCCATCTTCTAAATACAGATCAATGCAGCAGACTAAATAAAAAAACAAACCTTCCCACAGGGAGCAAGAAATTTACAATTCTAGTGGCTGACACTAAATGGGCTTCACTTTACCACGAGTGCATAACCAACAATTCTTATAATATTTCTCTATCTTAGCTTTCACTGAAAACACAAAAAAAAATTACTACAGTTGCTTTTTCGGTTTGTACTGCAGCAAATTCTTTGATTTTTGATACCTCTCTCACTGCTTGTGCTTCTGAAGTACTCATCAGTATATTTTTTATTGCCTGTTAAGTAGTCTCCCTGGAACACTTCCTGCGCTAGCATAATACATGCTAAAAGGAAATTAAATAAGCCAGGTTTTTTCTATTCCAACAGAACTGATTGCTCTCTCTCTCAAAGGAAGGACAAATTCAGCCTCATCATTCTAGTTAGTCAAGATAAAAAGTACAGGTGCTACACGGTCTCATACCTCAGAGTGTGCTGAAGGTCCTAGCAACAAGGATGGTTGTTTCCAACTTCAGGTGTGAAGAAATTTAAAGGATAAAATCTTGCACATCCCTTGCTAGGGCCTGCCAAGCTTAGCAACTTTGCTATTTTAATTTTTTATTCTACAAGAAGACAGCCAAATTACAAATTCAGACCACATGCATGAAGGATTACATTAACACTTACTTGGAAGAGTGATATTTTAAGCGTTTCTCTCAGTCTAGTTTTCCCTTTAACCAGGCAGCACCCTGTGGTCTCAGGGTGGCATCAACTACAAGCACAGATGTGCCTGAAAAATTCCTGGCTTGCTTCAGGAACCACCAAATGGTATCAGATTAAAGGACAAGTTCAGTGCCCCACCTCCAAGTGCTGCCAACAGCAGTACTGATGGAAGAGCTGGAGAGTATAAGAAGATAAGGTATTTCCCCAGCATACTATTCTAATGACTCTGATCTTTGGCTCAGCAGCCTTCAGGTATGGCAGCATTTTAAAATTTAATATCTCAATCTGATTTTCTTGCCTGAATTGGTCTAATGGCTTTTTGAGCTTCTGTGAAGCTTTAACATTCACAACTCCCGTTTTGCAACAAGTTCCAAAGCTTAACTACATATTGTGCAAAGCAGTACCTCCTTTGTTTGCTCTGAGCTCCATCAGATAAATGAACTTGACACATCCTTTAATCTTGTGTTAGAACTTAAGTCTTCTTTACTCATTTCCTCCCTATCCACCTGTGGCACTGCTTAGTACTTTACAGAGCTCTTTACAATTCCCAATTCGATGGACTTCCCAGCCTGAAAGGTAACAATGTATTCAGGAGTTTCCACCACAGCCACCATTCCTTGCCCCCCATATAATCCCCGATGCTGTTTGTGCTGTTTTTAGGTTCATTGCATGCTTCGCACAATGGAGGATAAGACCAGAACTACACACAGTATTCAGGATACAGGCAATATGATGGCATAATCATATTTTCTCTTTCGTTCTCTCTATCTTTTGTAATCATGTGCAGCATTGAAACTGCTCTTTTGACATGGCAATCTCACAGTTATCCACATCTACTGTGAAACTAAACCTCCTTTCTAATGACAATAACCAGCAGAGACCAAATCACTGTAAGTATAAGGTTAGTTTTTCTCTATGCACATCAGATTACATTTTTCACCTCTGAATTTCATCTGCCATTTTGTCAAGCCATCACTCAGCATCATGAGACAATTCTGCAGCTTTCTGTTGTCAGCTTTCATTTTTAGTATCCTGGATAAGCTACTACAATTAGAGCACCATGCACTTTTCACAGAGTTGTCAGAGTTGGAAGCGACCTCTACAGATCATCTAGTTCAACTCCCCTGCTAAAGAGGATCCCCTAAAGCACATTACTCAGGACTGCATCCAGGTGGGTTTTGAGTATCTCCAAAGAAGAAGACTCCACAACCTCTCCGGGCAGCCTGTTCCAGTGCTCTGTCACCCTCACACTAAAGAAGTTTTCCCTCATGTTCAGATGGAACTTCTTGTTTTCCAGTTTACACCCACTGCCCCTCATCCTGTCTCTGGGAACTACTGAAGAGTCTAGCTTCATCTTTCCTGCACCCACCCTTTAAATACTTGTAGGAATGAATAAGGTCTCCCTTCAGCCTTCTCTACTCCAGGCTAAAGAGTCCCAGCTCTCTCAGCCTTTCCTTGAAAGAGAGATGCTCCAATCACTTCTGTTGCCCTCCCCTGGACTCTCTCTAGCAGTTCCCCGTCTCTCTTGAACTGGAGAG